TTTTTAACACGATATAGTCATTGAACAATTTTGCATTCAACGACTATGCCTCTCCCAATGCGCCTCTTTTAATTTAGTAAACTTAGGACACCTTGTTGATCGAAAAGTCAATTTAATTTCAAAATGCTTAATAATAATATGCAAGAACTATTGAAACGAAATATATGGAGATATCAAGGAACTCGCATTGAAAATTCCTCAGAAATCAAAAAATTATGTTCGTGACACAACATATTTCTCTTCCCTTCATTTGCAAGTCTCATTTCTTTCTTTTCTGGTACCAATTGCTGTGTATCTTCTATTGAGCCACTTAGTTGGTATCAACAGCATCATTCCTAGTAAAATAAATAATATTCCCAATTCAATATTTAATAAAGGACTTAAAATGTTTGTAATTTTTTGCAATACATTGCGATATTACGCAATGTTCAACAATTCTGTTTAATTTTCGCTGCTGGGTTGGAACTTGAATATGGAATAACCCTTTGAATACTTGCACCCACTAGTAAATTCAAACAAATTAGTAAATAAAAATGTACGCGCACACGCAGTTTTCATAATTAAGGTAAAATTAAAATTGGCGAATAATAAGAAAGGAAACTTTTTTATTGAAAGCCGAGTCTCATTACTTTCGTCATTAAAAAAATATCAAGAGGGAGAGTAACCTTTTGGAAAAGGTCTGAGTAACTCGCGAAAACACAAAAGTCTGCGCTTAGCCCTGCATCCGTTTAAAACTTTTCGTTGAAAATTTTCCGGAAATTTATGGTATGCGTCAAGGGCGAAACATTCCTGCATTACGGCGTTTTCCGGTTATTTACGTGTCGGTCTACAAAAGAACGATTTGGAACCCCTTTTCTCTGGCGCTGCTAAGGGGGGAAGGGGTTAATAATTTTTCCTTAATTTATTCTTCATTGCAAGGCAGTTCGTTTAGTAACGAAACAAACGAGACTCGTTTATGAGAGTAAGCCATTGGCATAATTGATCGGCGAATTGTCCTGAGAACTCAACGAGGTTTTTAAACATACGTATCTCCCGAGGGGAAAACTATTGGCTAAATTTTCCACACCGTAGATCCCCTTTGTTCATGAGATCCTCAGCAAGTGGTTAGCGGTTAGGTCGAGGTACATTAAATCATTCCTTAGCAGTTACGCAGCAATGTTGTAAGGTGAATGTTTCATTCTTCTTCTTTAAATGGGTACAAAAAACCTTAACGTAGGTATGTTTAAGGTAAAGTTTTTTATTGACGATATCCATACTTCCCAATTCTGTGATAGCTTTTCCAAGCAGTTTAACAACATCAAGAATCACAACAGTAGGATTTTAGATTTGCTTATTCCACACAATCTGTTTGATACTGTCAACAGAAGCCGTGCTGCACTTGGGAAATATATTAATTTTAAAGAGTGCGAAGAACTCTCTTGCAATAGTTATACTAAAAAACAATTTCCTGTACCTAACGAGCAAATTAGTAACCAGGCGTAAAAAGTGGAAAAATTTAGAAATATATATATATATATATATATATATATATATATATATATATATATATATATATATATATATATATATATATATATATATATATATATATATATATATATATGACACTATATTCCGGGATATCATCCGTTCGCTCGTTGAACTCCGACTGGAATCCTGCATCCGACTGGAATCCTGCAAATCCTGCATCCGACTGGAATCCTGCAGACGTTTCGCCAAAATCTCACTTGGCATCTTCAATGCTCGCGCTCCGAAAACACTTCGAACACACAGTGTTCGAAGTGTTTTCGGAGCGCGAGCATTGAAGATGCCAAGTGAGATTTTGGCGAAACGTCTGCAGGATTCCAGTCGGATGCAGGATTTGCAGGATTCCAGTCGGATGCAGGATTCCAGTCGGAGTTCAACGAGCGAACGGATGATATCCCGGAATATAGTGTCATCATATTTTTCCATCCGTGAATCAATACGTGAGAATATATATATATATATATATATATATATATATATATATATATATATATATATATATATATATATATATATATATATATATATATATATATATATATATATATATATATATATATATTCACGTATGGAAAAATGTGATGACAATATATTCCGGGATATCATCCGTTCTTTTGTTGAACTCCGACTGGAATCCTGCAGACGTTTCGCCAAGATCTCACTTGGCATCTTCAATGCTCGCGCTCCGAATTTTCACTATCTCATTTGGCATTTAAAAGCAGAATTAAAATTAAAATATTTACTTGAACAATGAAATATCCATTCTACTGATCAAAGATTTTATAGAATTTTTTCCAATTCCATTTTCTTTGTCCTATTCAATTATAACAAGTTTTTCAAATTAGGGCTTTATCAATATATGGATGTCAGGATTTGTATTTTTTACAGATTATATTTATTTACTTCATAAATTTTATTATGGTTACCCAAACTAGAGATGATATTATTATATTCATTATTAAATGCTGATTAAATATGAGATGGTGATATTTTCCCTTCAATAACATCCCCAGCGTCTTCTGTTTCTCAAACGAATTTTGAATTGTATTAAAAGAATTAGCGCGAAGTTTTTAAATCGCGTTCGACTCTCAAAACACAAAAGAACTCAAAACAATGAAATCCTCGACAAAAGAACACGACGCAATAACAAACACTTAAGTTGTCCTGTGTATCGTACAGGATAAGACTAGTAAGTACGTTGAAGAGTATAACTTTCTCGATGCTTAAAATGAAATACCGTGAAAGTTTTGCCCGACAATAGGCGGTATTTCATCTCCCGAAATAAGGCGCAAAATAATATAAGGATTTCGTTGAAAGAAACTGAAATTGAAAGCTTAAAAAGATTTCCTATAGCAACGGAAATTCGTACTCATTCGGCAACAGATTTCTGTACAAGAATAGAAGTTGATGTTCATTTGGATGAAATTGTTGGTTTTTGGCGGTGATCTTTGGACGGGGTGCTAAGTTTTATCAGTCTATACATCTTTAAAATATTTATTTACTTTCTTCATTTTATTTGCAACTTTTGTAGCCTCTCTTTTTATTAATATCCATACTGTCTAAACTAATGTCTAATGCGTTTTTAATACATAATTCAATATATGACATTAATATTTTGAATTTTAATTCTAAACGAATTTTCAATGTCGTTAATAAATCTTGCCAAAAAGCAAAACAAACTTCTTAGAAACATTCAGTCCCAAGTTGTGTTTATAGTTGATTTAATTTATTGAAAGTAAAAAAATGGGTTAAATATTAGATTAGAAGAAATTTTTGGGCATCCTTTACAAAATGATAAGTTTTTTATAATTTAGACAAAATGCAAAGTACATAAAAATCCGTAAGGTTTAGGTACCAAAAAAAAATTATTGAAACAGACAAATTTTCATGGTAGATTCCAAAAATGCTATAAAGTACAAAATTCATAACAATTCGTAGTATTTTTGGGACAACCTATAACAAACTTTTGCAAAATTTTTGTATTTTGGCAATAATATTCTATGCAGTGTAGCGCGATATATAGCTGTAGCGTTAAGGATTGCAAGAAAAATTTTTTAGAGATAATCACTAAAAAAAATTAATCGATTCTCTATTTCCAATACAAATCTCTCGACCCATGACAATTCTGTTTTCTGTCATACTTTTTTAAAGCAAATTCCAGAATTCGTTTCGAGTAAACAGTAGCAAGATAAATGTGTCATAAGGGGCGAGAATGGGTGGGGGAATGAGTGGATTAGTTTTAGGTACCAATTGTGTCACCTTTCGAATGAATGTCTAAAATGTTTAAAATGTTCAATCTGATCAGCGTGCATGGTTACACGCAAGCTATAAAACATTTACGATATCACAAGAAAGTTTTTACTTCTATAAATTTGGACTAATAAAGTTTTTATTGAGGGTACCGGATCGTACGAGAGAGTATAGCTATTTTCGTAGTAACATCCCTTGCGGCTTAACAATCTGTTAGAAGGTTATTGAAGATTTATGGATTTCAAGAAAGCATTTTATTGATTTACCATCCCTTACATATCGCTATATCGAAAAGAGTCGAGATGCTTTCCGTACTGAGATTTTATAAAATTTAAAATATTCGCTTGATACAATAATCAGCGAATTTATTGACAAGCTGGCCTCTGTTTCGGTATAAAAATACCTTATCTCCCGTAGGACTGTAGCTCCTATATCTATTTTTACAATACGAGGGAGTAATAGAATGTAATGTTGCAATGTCTTCAAAAACATCAGCATTCATGTCTTTGTGATAGTCTCCAGTCGATTTTGATTGAAATACTAGTAAGCCACCACCCACAGTGTTTTTATTCCTGTTTTCCCTTCGAAACTGTCTAACTGCTATGAACCATGGGCAGAGAGAACTGACGTTTTAAATGTGTAGAAACACATTGACACATGAATCACAATAACAGTTGCACTAATTCTTCTACAACTTTTGTTCTATTATACCGCCCAAGCATGCCATTAAAATGTTTATTATTTTGGTTATTCCTTAGCAAACGTGAATGTCATTTAAATAAAGTGCGACAAGGCCTGTGAAAGTCAGTTAACTTCATTTTTGAGTTGCAAAGTGAAATATAAAATATTTTATGCCTTTTGGTATTCATAACTCATACAAAATAGCAGAAATAAATATAAGAAATAAGTAACAATAAAATTAACAGTAGAAACACTAAAAGATTGTCATATCCATTTTTAGGAATTTGTAGACTGCAGAAAAGTAAAATAATTTTCATCGGGCATTTTGGAAAGTCAATTTTGTAGTTTTTAGTGATGGAATCTTGAGAAACTCAGCTAGTTAGTAGAAGCTAGAAGTAGTAGAACTATTATGTTATTCGACACCCAATTCAATTATTTATGACTGAAAGGATGCTATTTTTTTTTGTTGGGAATAATTAACTTTTGGATTTATAGAGGTCGCGATTGGTCTTCGTAACAATTTATTATTTATTTGTTTGCAGATGATGAATCGGATGAATTTACAATCCATATTGCGAGATATAGACCCGAGGAATTGCACAAGTTAGCATCCAAGACAAAGTTTACGAAGAAAGAAATCCAATTGATGTATAGGGGTTTCAAGCAGGTAATAGATAGACAGATACTTTATTTATTAATCCCATGACAAAGCTAACAATATATAATTAGTCAATGATAACAGCAATCTTGGTTTAGCAAAATAAATTCAGAAAGTGTGTCAAAGTATTCAGTCAACTACAATTCGAATTTTCTTTTTCGGGTGAGTTTTGGAAAGCCTCTGCTAGTGAAATTTGGTTTCTGGTATTACGACTATAACGTCTGTAGATATAGAAAAATGTTTCAGCTTTGCTAAATTTTCTTAATAAGTTGGTAAGGTCGTATTGAAATTAAAACTTTAACAATAATCACTATGGCGGAGCACTAATATTGAGGACCTCTTATTCGAACTATCAGATCCTCTATCACTAAAGTTTCATCATCCCATGTCTCATTTTCCATAAACTTCCGACCTGCCATCCGCCATGAATCACGATGTATGTATTATCAGTTTCTCATCATTATATGTGGTCGGCAAATCCCCACCTGCCCGGTAATTATCCAATCCCATTTATGTTAAACCAATAAATTCACCGATAAGATCAAAATCGATTTACTAATATTCCCAAAATATATTCTGTTCGCGGTATATTGTGTGGAAAATTGGCATTAAATTGGCTCTGCAAAAGGCAATTAATGAGTTATTTCGCCCACTATACAATTCGTTAAATTCGTTAATAATTTCCATATCAAAAATATTTTTCCTACTTTCGTAATTTCGACCACTTTAAGTATGGTTCTATATATTGCGGAGTAATAATAAGAATGAATAAATCTAAAGCATTCTTCTACAGTATATCGTTCTATTTCTACAAGTAAATTAAAAATTATTTTCTGTTACATTTTTAAATCTCTTATAAGCTTCCTGAGACTCAGTGTTTTCAAAAAGTTTTTAAGACGAACAGTATACTTTCTTGTATAAAGATTGAAGCTAAAGTTAAAATTTTGTTTTCTTTAAATTTTCCCCTTCACTACTCTAGAAAATTTAGCTGCAAGAAGCTGCAATAATTCTCTCGTATTACTGACGAAGAATCTAAATGTATGCAAGTTCGTTGGCTTTACAATCGTAGCCTTACGGTAGAAAAAATTGCGGAAAGAGATTGCAGAATAAAATCAGGAAAACCAGCGAAAATCCTTAATAATTCTATTGTAAAAAAGAAATACCCGCCCTTGACATAAATTTGTAAACAGTGTTTGATTTGATTTGAAATTCAAGAATGTGATTACGCCCCCTGGCCGCCATTCTAGATATCAAAAAACAATTTCCATCATTTTCTCTTGCCGTTTTTAGTCATAAGTTTTTTCATCGCAAGTATTTATAACAATTATTTTTGGAAACAATGCCCTTCTTCATTGGACGGTACTTTTTAATATAAGAATTTCGCTTAATTTATTTAGGGAACTTCTTTCTTGTATTTATGGTAGCGAACGGATAACCACTGGAAAACAGCCTAAATTGACTTAAAAACGAGTTGTCCTACTTGAATGAAAGGGACAAACTTATGGGGTGAGCCCATTACCCGCCAGTATAAACTGTTATTCTTTTTTTCCAGGAATGCCCAACCGGAATGGTGGATGAAGAATCGTTCAAACATATATTCTCCCAATTTTTTCCTTTGGGAGGTGAGTCGTTTCATATCTACTAACTAGTTGTTTTATTTATTGTCATTCTACTCTCTAACCACGTATATTGCTTTTCGTACAAAGGAAACGTTAGCTATACAAAGGGCAGGTAAATATAGTAGAAAATGTCTCAGCCATTTATAAAAAAAGTCAACTGATGGAAAATGTGACGCTCTTGAATAGAAGTTGCCGAGTATTAAACAGGAATGAGATAGCGATGAAATTGCCAGCCGCTTTATAATATAATAGAAGTTGCAAACGAGAATTTTTCAACATCTGGTAATAAAATGGATATTTTCCTTTCGAAGCAACTTACTTTAAAGAGCTGATATTGCACACGAAAAAAAGGAAAACCGGGCGAAATCTCAGTTGCTGGTTCGGTTATCTGTCGCAGTATTAAATTAGATTGGAACTTTCAGAATGCATAAATATTCAGGGAAATTATTCATCGTCCGACTACTGAACTAAATCAAGTCTAAATGGTACATCGGGTTCTTATACGAATGAAAATTCATTCGCTAATTTGATTGGAAACGTGAATAGCCCTTTGAATTTTAAAATACCTTTGGTTTAGTTACTCTGCAGGGTGTTCCGAGATTATTCGTGAATATTTCAAATGTAAAGAGTGTCTTTGATAATTGTTATGGAACAATTATTTACTTAAGTCAATTCCGATTTTAAATCACTTTAATTAAGCTAAACTAAAATTTTTACAAAAAAAAAACAACAGTATTATAATTTATTATAAGATCAAGCAAATAAAAACTTATATAGAAGTAACAACAAAATGGACTCCAGTCGTTGTACTGCGAGACACCCTGTATTTGTGACTACTCAGCCGAAACTTTCCACAACTGTTTATATTCTCGTCAGCTGAACATTGTGTAAAGTTTGCAGAAAACGTTACTAAAACCCATAAATTTCGATTGCACTCCAAGCGTCTAAACTTTTTTATTATTTAACCACTGCAAATTTAAACTTGCAGGATTATTTTTGCATCAAAATCTCAAATCTCATATTATGAAATTTTTACTCATCGAAATAAAATTTTAATCAACTCAAATCAACCGAAGTGTGACACCAAGATCAAAATTCCTTAAAATCAAAATTTTCGGACTTGCAGTTTATTTTAAAGTAATTTTTGAAAATCGAATACACTGTAAATTTGTCCCTAACAAGAATATCTCAAACAAGTATACCCCTCATTGGAGAGTTGAAAATACCTTTTAAACGAAGTATCTCATGGGGTATTTTTTTTATGCAAGAAATGGGAGGAAATATGGCAACTTAAATTAAATTAATTTTTCTAGTCAGAACTGAAACAAATTGGCTGCAGTATCTCGTTTTAAGGTTTAATTACTGTTTCAGTTAATGTATTTACTAATAACAAGATCATAGATAATAGATGGATTTTACTTCATTTGCAAGCAAGATTTCGATCATTTAAGGAATTCGCAAGTAATGATAAAAAGAATAAAAACTCGTAATGGATTTTTTAAAATTGATTGATCTGATATAAATAAAGTTACACTGGGTTTAATAGCAACATAGATAAATATAAAATAAAAATAAAATTTTGTAAAGCGAAAAAATTAATTAATATAATATGAATAGAGAACATAAGTTAAAATAAAAACTAAAGTAGTGAACACAAATACTCAAAAAATTGAATTTAGAATTTCTAAATCCCACCATTTGATGTCGATCTGAAAGAGAATATTTTTATATTTATTTAATAAAGAAACCAAAATAATTATAGATACTAATTGTAAAGAAGGACGCTCTGTGCATGTTTTTCTAAAATTGATTTTATTGTGATCTATTTCTCATAATTCAAATAAAGACGTTAACTATTACTATTATTATTACATATTATTATTATTATTATTTACATTATTACTTTTTTATACATTTTTATCTATAACCTCTGACTATCCTGACACTAAATAAAGTAAAAAACGATTTAGTTTTTATTGTTAAAGAGACCTTTTATTTTATCGGGGTGGTAATTTTTTTTTTGTTCCAGATGCGACAAATTACGCGCATTATGTGTTTAACACGATGAAACAGAAGCAGTCAGGAAAAATCAGCTTTGAGGTAAAAGATAAAATACATCTAGGCAAAAATGAGCATCGCATGGTGTTCCGGTGTCGTTTTATCTTGTTAAAATGATAAATTGTAGCCTATTCTGTTATTAAAACACGATATCGGAAGGTATAAAGCTTTACGGTGACATAGATTCATTGGTTTGGTAATTAAAATGTGCCAGTCACTTAATTTGATGGTGTTTCATACATGTTATGCCTGCATGTGCTAGAAGGGCCTTTGTTTTCGCCTGCCTTTTTAGCATAATATTAAATAAGGCTTGGAAACTAAAACGCTTCTATCTACAGAAAGTCGCCACTAACTCGATATACAGGGCGGACCGGTACACAACGAAAAATTTTCGAAGTCACTTTTCTGTCAATATATTCTGAAAAATATTGTGACTACTGGTATACCATAGATATTTAAGTATAAAAGATTTACTTACAAAAGACAAGAAAAAAAAAGGATATTATTCAATTGTACCATAGCTACACAAGACTAGTGATTGTTGTAAGCCTATAATTTTCTGTTGCTGTATTGCATCCCTTTCTAAGTTACTTTTGGTTGAAACTGCGGTCCCATTTCTCATTCCAACTCTTTAAAATGAATAACCGCCGAGTATTTTCGACGCTTATTTGCCATCCCGTAAATAAACTGAACACTGAAAAAACTCTTCTCTCTCTCTCTCTCTCTCCTTTTATTTTGTCTCAATAAGCGTATACGTTATTCATATTAATTTATTTTACTAATAATCGTAGCTCCATCGATGTGAGAATTTTGCATCTGTATTCAATCGTTGCGCGGCATGTTGCATTCAATTGCTTTCCAGAGGATTGCCGATTGCGATTCTGGCCGCATGTAATATATTAACACCCGTCGCATTGGTCAAAATGACTCACGTATTCGGCTTCGAGAGACTGCTGATTCGGTGGCGCTTTTTGGAGGAGTCCCGTCTGGAATGTCAAACGTTTTAAATGTGTAAATGTGTGTTAACAAGTGGAAGCTACAAAGCTCGCCCTTAAAATTGTTCAAAATGTGGTTTTCAAATCCGCTATGTTTAATATTATGTTTTTGTTGCATTGCTCCATCATTTGATTGTCGTTTTGCACGCATTATATAAGTACGAAAACTCCAAAAGGCCACTAGAAAGAAAAAAATGGCGTTTAGTTTGTCTGAAACACATGTCAGAATTTCCAACAAATCAGAATTTTTGAAAACATTTGTCGTTAGGAAAGTGCAGTTAGTTTTTTTTTTGTGGTTGAGGTTAATTTATAATGTAGCAGTTTTATATAGATATAATGATATTAAGAAGAACGCGCAAGCGCTTTTTCCCATATTTACTGCTCTCTAATGTTATTGTAAAGCTTCTACATTATAAATTAACTAAAACTAACCAATTCTAAATCTTTATAATAAACTAAATCTTATTTTCACTTCAAACTTGACTTCAAATCAAAAAATCTGCCTTTTTTCAAAAATTCTTACTTGTTTTCCAGAAAATTTGACTTGCGTAAGAAATTCTGATATGTTTTTTTTTTGCTGCCTTCCAGACCCTTCGTAGATAAGTGCAGAACAATTTTTTCTGTCTTCTCTTCTGTTTGTTATTTATTTGCCAGTGACTTTCCTATTTAATTTTTTGCTTTTGGTTTTTAATTCCTCCGTTCTTAAAGGGCTCATCGAAAAACTAAAACCGAACATTTATACGGTAAAAGTGTACTAAACGTGACAACCCGACCTTCTCTCTTTATTTTGAAGTGAACGAAGAGACTTACTTTAATAATAAATTACGTAGAGCCATCCCCGACTTTTATAACAGCTTAGAAGGTAATCATTTCTGATTTACGTTTCACGGCATCGTCTTTTATTGATACTTGGGTTGGTTTATCGAAGTTGTCCTACAGCATTAAGATTGTTTACATTATAATACGTACCTAGTGTCATGTGTCAAACTGTACTTTTGCTAAAATAAATTTGAAATATAAATTGAATGCAAAAATATTGATGGTGGAATGAGAAAAGAAGGTAATTTGGAATTCTTGTCTTTCTTTAAATTCCCAATAGCTGAATTCTTGTTATTTCCTGCACGACATCACAAGGGTGTTCGGTAGATCCTCTATTTTACAAAATTTAAGTAGAGAATGTATTAAAATGGCAGAAAAGATGTGGAGAAATTGGTTTACCAATGGCAGACCAGACGCTATACACTCTCTTCTTTGCTGACAATCAAGTTCTGACCTAGTTCTCAATACAAAGAAAACTGCGTATATGACTATTGCTGGCAATGATCAGAGCGATCTAGTTACAGAAAATAACCCAATAAACATTATTGTTTATACGCCAAACCTTTTTTGACAAAATAAGCCGTAAAATATTAATAGAAAAAATAATAATAAAATAAACTTTGGAAAGTTGGATTTAGAGCGGTAAATTCCCGTAGAATTCCAAAACTTTTTTCCAGCTTAGACGATTCAATTCAGGGTAAACGTTCGGGTCGAAAAAATTTTCAAACAATCCATTTCCCGTTCTCATGGAACGGCTATTGTTTCGTTCGATATAAGTTTCATCGAAAACATTTAAAATAAATGTACAAAGCATAATTTCGATGGAAGTTCAGAAAGCAGCTATTGAAGTATGCAATACTAAATCGTATCGTCATTTTGCCATACAGACATCGTTTGATTTCATTCCATTATCGATGCGGAAGAAATCGATTTAAGGGACTGCTTAATGAAACTGGGTATTTCCACTGCAACCTAATTATCGCGGAATCCTTACAATTAAAACGTTCGAGTTAAGTTTAGTAATTAAAACCGTTTAATTATGCAGCCGTCATTCCAAAATCACATTGGCTGAACGCTTGCCTTGCTTCTTTAATTCATATACTCACCAGTAACAAAAATAATATATTCCAATTAAACTGACATCCCAAAACTGACAAAATAAAACAACCAAAAAATAAATATCATTTTAAAAGTAGTAGGCCATAATCCGGCGTTTCTATAAAATTATATATAATATTATAAATAATTATTATTGCAAATATTGTTCATAACTTTAGACAGTTCATAATATGTTTTTGCTGCTGGCTACTGTAAAACACTCAAATATGCACTAACCATACATATTTATTTTATTTTGTTGTTGATTATTTTACTCGGGATGTTTTAAGTGTAGTTTTTGTTTTTAATGTAGTGTCACAAATAGATAATATGCAACAAGTTTCTTTAGTCACGATTTTTTATGGAGCGAACGGACCCAACCAATAGCCTATCTTCAGAAATCACCTTCGAGAATTCGCAGAATTCTAGAAGGTGCGTTTCTTAATGCGAAAAAATGTGTCGAAATATGTTCGAATATGACCGGAGTTGGACAGTCTGCAGAATGAATGCTGATGTTTTTGAAGACTTACTTCCAGCAAATACTAGATCTTATTGCTCCTGGGTCTGTCATAGTTGTAGCTACCTCACAAGAAAATCCAAAGAAAATGGAAAACAATGACATCATTTATTGGCTGTCTTTAAATAAGATGCAATTTCAGAAAGATATGCTGAGAAAGGAGCTACTGGAGATTTTAAATTTGGTATGAAATTTGTTGACCATGAGATTGTTTCAGAACGAAATATAACGGTAGTTCATCTTCCGCACTATGAATTAAACCCCAGTTGGTATGGGTGCAACTAAAAGGGTTTGTAGCAAAGCATAACACCACTAATTTAGGAACGATGTGAGGTGTGTAGATCATAAAAACTGAAATACGGATTTTAGTGAAAGCTATAAATGCACTAATTTCTTTGAACTTATATTTTGTTGTTCAGAACATAGCACAATTGTAATATTGGTTCCCAACTCATAAAACTCATAAAGATTTAACCGTCTGAAAAAAAATGGCTTTTCGACTTCTTGAACTGGTCTATAAACCAATAGAAATTGAGACAACCAGCAGGAATTTAAAAGCTTTTCGTTAGCTAATTCAGTTGGCAACATGCCAATTACCTCATCACCTTTAAAAGCGTTCCTAATGTCTTAAGACCTCTTTTCGTATTATCAACATTTCTGACTCGCATTGCTCGCAAGTTAATACATGAAATGGATGCATTTGTATTATTGCCTTGCAGAAAATTTACTGCAAATATTCGATACCGTTAAAACGGCCACTGCCGAAAGCTTGCAATATGCACTGCGAATTATCCGAACCGCCGAGTGGCACAACGAGACCAAATCTCTGGAATATCTCAGAATAGATTTGGCCTATAAAATATGCTGAAACAAACAGGTGCGCAGATGAATTATCTAGCCCAAACTGTACCTAAAATAGTAAACGCATTTATTTAAACGTCTATGCGGTCATAAGGGAGTAAATTTACTACTGTGTGATCATTGAGGATATCGCTCATGGTTTTTTTGTAAGGTAAGGTAAGAATTTATTAGTTCCTCAGAACAACATATACAAAATACAAATACAATTGTATATATTATACCCAATCAAACATTATTTTATATTTTCTTATTTAAAAAATTCTTCCACTGAACAGTAGTTTTAATTTAGTCGCTTTTTATTTCAAAAAAATTGCTTAGGCATGTAGTTTGGATCTTGCTGTCAAACTTGTAATCTTGAAAATGGTAGGTCGTACAGGTTTTTATTTTTAATAATAATACATGTGTTATGATTTTTTGTAAACATTAACAAAAAATATAGAGATATATAGACAAGAAAAAGTCAATATATTGTATTTTTTAATTATTCGTACAAGAGCCTGAGCTGTTTATGTCGGCCATTAATCTTATGGGTTTTTTTTTAGAATAAAATTTTTCCAAAATCTCTTGAGCATCCTCAAAACATTACTCCGTAAAAAACAGTAAATTGCACAAAATCAAAATATATTAATTTCAAAATATCTATAGAGACTGTGTCTCTTATATTTTTTAATAGAAAAGAATATCAGCTTAATTTTCCTGCCAGATGGCCGATATGGGTTTTTGATGATTATTGAAATAATTAATATAGGCCTAAAATATGTTCTTTATTTTATTTTATTTAGTGCGGTTTTTGTCGACCGAGTCCGCCGAAAATCATTTTGTTGCTGACATATTAGGTTATATTTCTCAGGGTGTATGGTAAGCATTGAAGAGATGACAACCGTAATAAATAATAAAATTCGGAGGTTAGTAAACAGGTAAATGGGAAGGGTCTTAAAGTTAATTCAATACAGATAAGACAAAATTTTTCACACTAAAAAGTATATAGGTATATAAATGAGATAGCGGATTTAAATTCAATATTATATCTATATTAATATCATTTTTTAGATTATTTGCTAAGAAGTGAAATAACGGCAATATTAGTACATTGTTCTTATATGTGAGGTAAGGATTAAAATGAAAAAATTAATATTCTCATGAATTAATTAACGTTTTAAAATGAAACTCTTCAAGTAAACATTACGATGGTATGTCAATTTTATGAGTACAACGTTTTTACAAATACCAGGATGGGCTGATAAGTTTCCCACATAACTATGGCGCTCCCATATTAATTTTTTATCGACATTATATAGTATTATCCTCAACTAGTTAATATATAAATTTTCATTAAATAGTATTCCTTTGCTCACAGAACTATTGGTGCTGTATAAAGGAAATCCTGGAAAAGTAAGACCTAGACCCACTATCACACTCCTGAAAATAAAAACCAGCCAAAAGAGTGAACGGCAACTGTTAAACCAGCTCCAAAGAAAGTAAAGGCAATTTTATCAACTAACAAGGTTTGGGATGCAAAAAGAATTATTTTCATTGATTACCTTAAAAAGGGTAAAACCATCAATTTCGAGTACTATGCACATTTATCTGGCAAGAAAAACTGCTTTCGCCTCTAAATAATTTGTAGCAAAATATTGATAATAAATAGATAAATAAATAAATAGCTGCTGGTGATTCCAATGAATTTAAATTACCCGGAATCAGATAGTGCAAACAAATGGAAGCTCCTCTGTATTGTTCAAGTGATTGACTTTGACATCGTGAAAATCAATTTGAGGGAAACTCAGAATTAACGCTCTACAATGCCTGAAGGCACAACCGTGTCGTTTTGTGATGCAAATGAGTTCACTGGCCCACACGAATGCGTTTACCTAAAAGCTCGTCTGCTTTCTTCTAATTGTAATTCAACTAACTTGTTCCTAACTTCGATCGTCTGATGTAATCGTGGGGAAAAAGTTTCGCTCCCTACCTGACATTCATTTAAACCTGCTTCTATACGAAGCATCTGTCGTACTCTAAAGGATTGTTCTCACAGCCAGTCTGAACAAGTTCATTATAGGGGTCGTAAATATCCGCATATTGATGCACAGCGATAACCACACAGTTAGCTGTTTTTTTCTCCTAAAAACTTGATACGATTGGACATATCTTGATAAAATACTTGCAAAAATGCTACATCCAAACTGATCTTAGATCTTATTTGGTAAAACGAGATTTGAAATGACAGATTTTGTTGATTGAAATCGAGTTCTAAAGTGACCCGCCTCATGATCATATCGAGATTGGGCTATGAGATTGTATCGGCAACTTGTAAACCATTGAAGATGGAGGATTTATTACAGAATTAAATTATGTGAGGTGAACTAAGAAATATAGAACTTATAATATATTAGAAAAAGCAAATTATTTGATCTTATTACATTTATTTCAAATTTTATTAAAAAAATAAATGAAAAAATAGTTGGGTTCAAAATAAATTTCTTCTTAATTCACTTGTTTTGTTTACAGGATGATCCAATTTTAAATTGTGAAAATTCCAAACAATACTAGTTACAAAATTAGTGTAGTTTTTAACAAAGAATTTAAAGAACACAAAAATACAGGGCGGTAAACAAACAAATGTCTTAATGGAAACAATTCGATCCTATGTCCAGGAATACAGTTTCGAAAAGAAAACAGGAATATCAATTATCTTAGACTTGGGTAACTGAAGGATATACTGTTGGCAAACTATGGCAAGGTAAAAATTCAAGAAGGCAAGGCTTTCATGTAAGCATAGTCCACTGCATAATAATAATAATTATTATTATTAAGCTATTTACGCATTGACGGTTGTTGATAAATCGAACTTGCTGACGTTGACTTCTTTAGAGCTTGAAATTAATGCATTTCAGCTCTCTCGCATAAAGAAACGAAATATAAATTTTTTTTTCAACAGAATAGAGAGAAATTTTTTCCATTTATTTTGCTAGAATTTTTTTTTTCAATTCTACACGGCATCTTGCTTTTTTGGCAAATTCTTTGAATTCTACTCTTTTTAAATGCCAAATAAAAGTAAAAAGATATGTAATACGTAACAAATACGTTATTATAATTGTATAAGTGTTACCTCTGTCAAGTTCATCCACCCTGTATGAATGAAAATAGTTTGCAATCGAGCACAAAATTAACAATCATTTGGTACCTTTAGACAAATTGCTATTAATTCTTATAAAGACTTCGATCGAAATCTTTCAGGGGCAATAATTCTACTCTAAAACCCCTTTCGAGAGGCTTGTCGACTGAGAACAAGTTTATTGCTTCTCTCGAATTTAGAGTGTATCGGAAAGCCCAACCAATAATACACTGTAAATACTTTAACAAAAAGGCAGCCTATAAAACCTCATTTTTATCTATGTCCTAACGTTGCTAGTTTGTTGACAATTGGATAGGTTTATTTTTTTGCTTTCTGTATTCATGAACTTAAATTTTCCTGTCTTAAAACTTCATCAAGTAAATATCTCTCAAAAATAAAAAATTGCGGAAAATGTTCTGAAAAGAAAGGTTTCTCTATCCTTAGCCTCAGAAGTTTCTTAGATATTTTGATTAATTTAAAAGCTTTGAAAAATGATGTTTTGAAGTAAATAAAATATTTAACTTCGCCCAAATCAATGCTAACTATACTAAATTTTGAGTTTTCGTAAAAAATATGAACTAACATGATACCTTTAAAAATAGTTGTTTTCAACCCGTAAGCATACGAATTTCGCTATTTTCAAAAAGTATATTTAAAAATGGATGAATTTTTAATATTCATTTAAATTTAACCTTACAAGCTTAAAAGCTTTCACGCAAATAACGTTGCGTCTAAAATTTTTCCTTCACACACGGACACAGTCACACATAACAGCTCAAATCACCCTTACACACACAATAGTTGGTTAGTTTTATACTCTTTTATACTTTTTAATACGCTACTCTCAACAGAAAATTACAACAAAGAACTTAATATCATTAAACAAATTGCACCGAACAACGGCTACAATCCGTCCATTATAGATAAAGTTATAAATAAAAAACAAATCCAGACAACAGTAAATTCTAAAAATAGCTTTCAGAGCTAACAATCCAATCGGAAAATTTTTAAAAACCAGTAAAACGAAATGTCCAAAATCACGAAAATCAGGTGTATATAAGTTGAAATGCGGATCTTGTCCTAAAATTTGTATTGGACAAACAGGTAGATCCTTCCAGAAACGGATTAACGAACATAAAAGAGCATTTAAAAACAATAGTCAAGATTCTAACTATGCTTTATTATAGTCTAATATACTACACAGAAAAACACATTTTTGACGACAATTTTGATATTTTATACACAGCCACAAAAATTAAAAAATTAAATTAATTGGAAGTCATGGAGATTAACAAAATGAGACATTCAAATGTATCGCTTAACGATCAATTAGCTTTAAACACCTCTCCTTTATTGAACTTAAATTCTCACAACAACATTAATTAAGGTTTTATTGTCGTTTTTCGGTATATATAGTAGCAGGTAATTTGTACATATTAGATTTGATAAAGACACGGTGTTGTCAAAACAATTGTCATGCGAATATATATAATTTCGTGAGTCTTCTAGTTCATATTTATTTATTTTTTAATTATTCGTTATAAAACAAAAAAAGAACGTAACGCTATATACTTTTCAGGACTTTTTGAACATTCTGTCCAAAGTGTCAAGGGGATCAATTCAAGAGAAACTTCAATGGGTATTTGGTTTATACGATCTCAATGGAGATGGTCTAATTAGCAAAGCGGAAATGTTAGATGTTGTCACGAGTATTTACGAAATGCTGGGTAACTTTTAATGCAATGACTTGAGTTTCAGTGTGATCTCCTCCAATTAACTTTTCAGGAAGGGCAACCCAACCGGCTGTAGAAGATAACTCAGCTAAAGAACATGTAGAACGAATTTTTCACGTAAGTTCGCATTAAATCGAAATAACCATTGAGCGTCACTTTAGGGTTGCCAACTTTGCGGTGATCCAATTAATTTATGATTCTGTATATTTTCAGAATTCTGTTCTTCTATTCTACTCTTTTGTATTTCTTCAAACATTAAAATAGTTTAAATATATGGAGGACATTTATCGTTATTTATTTTTTTTTATACAAACAATGGTGGTATGTCTAAATCGAATTAACGAAATTAGAAATCTTCAGATCATCAGCATGCACTAAATACGCACTGTTAGAGTACAAAAAACATATCCCCACATCACATAAAAGTAATACAAAGAGCAAGGGACTCAAGTGTATACCATACCGCAAAGTTCACATCCTAGAAGCCACCATTGCAGGCCGAAATTTAAAAGGTTAACAGTGGGTGATGAACCTCGTCAAAAATCTGTACAATAGCACAAAATCTAGTACATTTGGCAACCCTAGGTCACTCTCATGCAGTATCATTTTGGTCAATAACATTTTTTGTCACAGCAAATAGACACGAACCAAGACGGATTTATAACAATAGAAGAACTGATTAACTGGGTATCTCGTGACGAGAGATTTCTGAGATCCCTCGAGACTTTAGATACAGTATTGTGATCGTCCTTTATACCTCATGCATGGGACTCCTATTTCCCTAGTACCAATTCTCAATAATTTATTATATAATGTTAGGTTTAGATTTTTGCTACGTGTAAGGTTTTTTTAAAACCTTAATTTAAACTGTATCCAAGACAATTCTGCGTATATGCACATGGTATGACCAAATTGCGGGATTACTTGGGCCTTGTATTAATATAATGTTTGTTGAACTATCTTCTAAAATGGTTACCTGTTATTCTTGTTAAACTAGAAAAGGAATTAAATATTTTCTGAACATATTTCTTAACACTCCAATGGTTAGGTTAGGAAATGGGGATTTTGTATATTTGCGAAAAAAACTTATTCTACATTTTTGCAATGTTGGGAGAAGGGAAGACGCCAATGAATACTATGAATAGTGAATAAGGTGTTCTTTTAAATTTTATCCTTCGTGTGTACTTACTTCATCATCAAATTCCGTATATTGAGGAATACACAGGGTGGCGGAAATAAAGTTCCCAACCCACTCAACTCAGAAACTACGATGATAGAAAAGTTTCATAGTTTCATCTAGATTTTTTACTTTTTTATTATAGGTATATTTTATTCAAACAGTTATCGACAAGTTTTTTAATTTTAAGTCTTGATGATTTAGTTTTGAATAGATTTCTTGTGGTATATTTAGTGAATATTTAAGATGTAAATTAATATATTAAAAAATGAAGTGCATAATTAATTATTAATAATTTTAGAGCCTGCAATCGTCATTTTTGACAGTTTGAAAACTAGGGAAAGATGGTATTTATTCCAGATGGACGCAGCAACCTGTATATATGTGAAATTAAAAATTAAAACATCTAGATGAAACTATGCAACTTTTCTATTTAACTTTTTTTTCTATCTTAACAGTTTCTGAGTTGAGGGGGTAGGGAACTTAATTTCCACCATCCTATACATGAAGTTATTGTTCAGTACAAGTATGCGGAAGTATCTGTCTGTTGCATTTGGTGTAAATAAAACCCCAAAGTTTTTCCGTATGCATTCCATATTAGGCACTTACAACCACTGTTACCAAATACCAACAACCATGCCAAATAAAAACATGTATCCTATTTCCTGATGGTATTTTATCTACATAACATCGATTTAATGTTGCATCTGTATATTATTTTTTTAATTAGAAACTGTCACGTTGTATTTCCGATAATAAATTTTTGAATGGTTAAAGTGTATTTTTTTTAACGTTATTCTGCTGTTATTACAGAAAAGGTACTAAACTAGCTGCATTACAAAATCATTTTGATAAAAGACAGAATAAAAATATGTACAGGTCAATGCACACTTTCCATGAATAATGGAAAAAAAATATGATACCTTCAACAAAAACAATTAGTTACACGATACTTTAAGCGCAAATCTTTAAAAGATTTTTTTGGAACTTAAAACTTTGGATTTTGTTAGCTATTATCTTGATTCGGGTTTAAAGGCCGTCGTCGGTTGGAATTACTTCCTAACGTTTCGCTAGCGAAACGTTAGGAAGTAATTCCAACCGACGACGGCCTTTAAACCCGAATCAAGATAATAGCTTATCAACGGGCCGCGAAAGCCTTAACCAATTTATTTGGATTTTGTATTTATTTACTTATGAAACTATCCGTTGGAAGAAGTTCTTCCTATAAAATTTACGAGGTAACTCACAAGTAGGTTCTGAAATAAATATTTGCTTTTTCCAATGGATTCTTTGTATATAAGTACAACTGACTTGATAAATAAAGAAAAATGCAGTTTTTTCTGTTGTAGAATTATCTTAAGATCTTATAGAAAATATCAAGAATGTTTAATTTAAAATTCAACGTCTTACATTCTAAGATCAGTCAATACTACAAAAATTGGTTGATGTAACATAGGGTAACAAGTTTACTCAAGAATCTACCTCTCGATACTTATGGATCAGTGTAACTATTCTATTATAACCCTAAGATCTGTAAATGGAACATATGAATTTATAGTGTCCAGTATTTCGGGTAAGATAACAACGTTATTAGCAAGCCTAAAAAAGAAACTAATATCCAGATGTACTCTTCTATTCTGAAACGCGGCCAAGTTTTAATAAGTCTTTGTCTGCCAGATCTGCCAAGAACTTATAGACCGTGATTTTGAACAAAGGGTAAACTTGTGCACGTTTGTTTCCCCATATATATAACGTTTCCCTAAGTTTCTCCAAGAAGTTGATGGAACTTCTCCGCAATACCATCGAGAAGTTCGAAAATGTTCAAATAATCATTACCCAGAGAAATGGATCGGTAGAAGTGGATTCATTGGATGACCTCCTCGATCACGTTTCTTAACTCCAGATTTCTTTTTGTGAGGATATGTTAAACATCGTGTTTATGCGGATTATTTAAGTAATTGTTTGTACTTGGAAGGGAAGATTTTATATAAGTTTTTTAATTCGGTCCATATTATTGTAACCCAAGGAATATATTATTGTATTTTTTATGACCTCGTTTACGAATAAATAAGTTTTATCAAAAGAGCTTCCAAATAAAGGTCATGCTGACTGACGAACTCTTGCAACACTTTTTTATTGCTACTGATCGTTGGTCCTTTTTTACCCAAAGTGCTGTGATAACTAGCATTATCATAAACTGTTATGCTGCCTAGTGGGATATTTGGAAGAGAATTGTTTACCCAATTTTCAAAAAGTTCTGTAGTTTAATGAGCAGACTTTAAAGTTTTTTCTGAAACCTTCCCTCTGGCGACAATGCAAAATTGATATTCTTTTTCCTCTAGATTCAGATGCATGCAGTTGTAATTAGCTCTAGTGATCTGTGAACCGAAGCATACTATCCAGATGTATACCCTGATTCTTCATACTCTCAACCCCTAAATTAACCCTTCCAATATTATATATTATTATATATTATATATACAGGGTGTTTTTTAAATGTCAGTAATTAAGTTCTTAACTTTTGAGATACAGATAAATGAAAATTATTCATAGAATCTCGAGTCATTTCTAAAGAAAATTTATTTCTCGATGTTTTTCAATTGGATGTACAGTTTTCGCTTAAAAAAATGCATGGTCAATAGGACAGCATGCAGGTAATTATTATCATTGTTATTTATTAGTTAAGTAATTGTCTATCTGTTTTATTAAAATACTTCAAAAATTCCAAGTACCAATACGCAGTACGTAAACCATGAGGTGTATTTTTAGCTGTAGAAGAGTGTCCTGCGACTTTAAGAAATACTGGAGGTATAATATCCTTCAAGGTGGCGAACACTTTCAACAACTTATCTAGTTTCTATATTCTACTTTTTTTCATTTTTGTTAAAAATTATTAATAATTAATTAAAAATATTAATTTACATTTCTTTTAATAAGAATCGTTTATTATTTTTTATTTGGTAACTAAAAACTAGATGTGTTGTTTTACATAGATATTTTATTTTTCAAAAAAAAAATTTCGATTTAACCAGTGCAGTGGCGACCTCCTAATTAATGGTTCATAGATACGCCACATTTTTTTTAGTCTATCGCACCGTTTTCACGTCAAAGTAAAAATTAATTTCTCTGCATGACGCATAAAGCGAAAACCGTACATCGGATTGAAAAAAATAAAGAAATTAAATTTCTTTTTAAATGATTGGTGGTTGTAAGAATAATTTTTATTTTAAGAGAAATAACTGCTGTACCATTATTGTCTGCCATAATAGACAGGTGAAATTCCATACGCCCGCCACTGGCGTATTTTAAAAAAAAAGTGGTGCATTATATATTATTTTTGAAAACTTTACCACCAAGTTTGGGGAATACGTTCGTACAAAGTTTTCTTTTTGAAATGGACTCATTAATCGCCCCCACATTCAATTCGAAAGCACCCTGTATTGTTTATACTTATATAAACATTTATCGATGTTTAATTTCAGATTGTTGATCGTAATAGTATAGGCGATTTTATATATAAAGAGCAACTAATTTAAAATTAATTTATTCGCCATATCGTTTACAGGCAGCAAAAATAACTTTGGGCCAGGTGCGATCCTTGTGAAACACCGGAACCAACACTATTGCATAAAAGTTTTCATATTTTTTAGTTAATTGTGAAGTCCACTTTCAAAGGCAACTTCTGGTATGAAAGGCATCTGAAGGTGTGAAATAAAACGGAATCAAATACATTGGACGTCTTTTATTAAATGTTTTTTTGTTATAAACGTGAGTTGAAATAATACTTTCTCTTTAAATAATACAATTAAATAAATGGATGAAGGGGAGATCCAATGTTTCGGCACTATTTTCGAAGTTGTCATACATCCTTTTCGAATGTTATTTATTCCCTATCTTTAAGTAAGTTGATCGAATGCTGAAAATAATGTCGACTAGTAAGCTGAACGATACACTATAACGAGATCGCGTGTAGCGATCCCTGCAACAAATAAAATTTACAAAAAAAAAAAACTCAAAACAATTAGGTTTTAAAATTATATCATTGCTTAGAAGTAATGATCACGAATGTAGGGGTTTACAATTCCTTCTCGATTTTAATCAGTTCTTGGATACCGTCGTACATTTCCTTAACGGCTTCGAATTCGGTCAAACCCATACGCCTCTTGTTGGAGATGTCATAGATACCACCTTCAGCTTCGGTGTGCTCACCACGAGTGCCGCGCACTTGCAGATTGTACTTACCCGCCACCTCTTCAAGTTTGGCCTTATTGGCGGCCAATTTTGGTACCTTGATGTGCACAGAAGCTCGGACGGTGGTTCCCAAATTGGTCGGGCAGAAAGTAAGGAATCCCAACCTGTCGTGATGGGAGAAAGGAATACGCTTCTCGATATCGTTCACCGCCGTTACGAGACGACGGTAGACTTCACCAAGATCCCCTCCTTGCTGCATGGAGATAATACGAAGATGATCCTCCTCGTTGCACCACACCAAGAAGGTTTTGTTTTCATTGTGGTAGATCCCACGACCGGTCGGCCAGAATCGACAAGCGTTTGCGGCTTGCAAGAACCTGTCGCCTTCCTTGAACAAAAAGTGATCGTCGATCAGTTTCTGTTGGATTTCTTTGCTCATGCCGGTCAAGGGATAGAAGGTTCCCTTCAGCTCTCCTTCCAAACCGGAAAGGGTGCTCGACACTTTCTGTTCCATTTCCTTGTATTGCTCTTCAGTTAAGCAGGGGTTGAAAGGGTAGCCCTCGAGGGATCTACCGCAGCGAACTCTGGTGGAGACGATGAATTCGTTGGCGGGGTCCAAGTTGCCGAACACGCTCACGTCGCCCCAGTTCTTTGGCGGATGCTTGTCGCTCCTGGTGAAGCCCTTGTGGTAGTCCTCGATGATAGGGTCGAACAGGTCGGCGAATACCGTGTAAGCTTCGGCATCGGGGGCGTAAATACCGATTCCGGAATCCAAATTCTCAACACCTTCGAACAAAATAATAGATATTTATGCCATTGCTTTGAGGTAGAACTTGCCTGGACAAGCCTATTTAAAACTAACCAAAACCCTACCTTTTCATACACTATATACAATTTTTAATCTGGCATCACTGATTTGAGGTAGCACCTGCTTGGAAAAGCCTATTTTGAAGCTAACCGAAACACTGCCTTTTCATACACTATAAACAATTTTTAATCTCTCATCGCCGGTTTGGGGGAGCACCTGTTTGGAAAGGCCTATTTCGAAACTAATCAAAACCCTATGTTTCCACTGACTGACTAAAAGAAATGAACTAATTGCTTATGAGAGAAAGAAGATATTTTAATAGTCACAGTTTATGCCGTTAATACCAAAAAATTAAGACATGCACAACAAATATCACCACACTTGCACGGAACTGCACAAAGGGAAATATCATTTAATTACCACGTCTGGAGTTGTTATTATGGAGTACCAAGTGGAATTAGCACGCGAATTAATTTTCACATACAACACATAACTAATAATGTATAAACACAGGTAAACAAAATTTTATTAGCACAAAAGAGAATTTAGAAAAATTTTTAAAAATCAGTAACCTTATAAATTTACTAGAAACTGATTTGGTTAGTGAATTAAAAAGGTTTATTCCCATCGAGTCAGGAGAGTTCTGTCCACAGTTTGGCCTAGATGATTAGAGGCTAACCGGAACTGCTGATAATATGACTTATTAAACCTATAATAATAATACTAGGTTTGAGAATAAGAGTATGGGCTCAATTCAACAATTATCTACTCATTCTGTCTCGACCCTCAGGAGCATACATAAACTGCAAATTAATATGTACCAATTCAACTATGATGATATTTTACCTTTAATTATTTAGTATAGCAAAAAAAAAAAACAAGATACTGCGATAATGAACTGTAGCATTTAACACGTCCGGACGATTTCTTATTTATGGCGAACACACTAATTGCTGTTGATAACAAACAAATGCCAATAATTTCGATTATACAAAAATCACACAAAACACAATATAACACATAGGAAATTTAAAATGGAATAAATATACCAGCTGATCTTTGCAGTGCGCATGCGCAAGCCAAATTTCATGTAAAGTGGGTTATCTCTATTTACATGTGAATAAATTGGGTTAAATATTAAATCATATTTAATTTTGCTAAATTCTTAGGATAAAATACTAACCAGATTGAATAACATCCAAGAGGGTGGAACCGAATGATGTTTTCTTCGTCTTCAGTTGATCGAATACATCCTTGGTAAGATATTTCTTGAGTAGGGATTTCGAGTCGGAATCAGCGAGCTTCTTGAAGCCGGCTTCAAGTTTTTCTAAAACTGCGGCGTCCACCATTTTTTGCTTGCTGCAACGAGATTATAAACAAATTACATTTCTAGTTTGCATCTTGGAGGATCCAACATGTAGCACATATCAAATAAATTTGGTTCACCTTTCTTAATGCAACTGCATATTTTTGAAAAACTTACTTCCGTAACACAGATATTTCCAATGATCGAGCCATCCCCAAACAAGTTTACGAATTAGACGTACAAAAATTTTCAATTTTCAATAAATCCTTTGCTCAGCCGCAAGATGAAATCATGAGTGGCTACGATGAAAACATCTAATAACTACCCCTCATCTTAGAATTTCACAGACCAGAGTACCAATTTTTAACGGCTTTGGTATTAAATTGCTGGTTGCCTAACGCCGTAAAAACCCAAAATATTATTTAAATGAATCCGAATTTTGAAAATAGTGCCACGTACGTTTTTTCGGGAACAAAACAATGAAAATTTTTCGCATTTAAATTAATATTTAAAAATTATTAATGCCAAAAGCGAATTAAAACAAAAACTGCAATAAACTTTGAAATTAAATTCTCTTTGCAAAAATATGAGTGGATACTCAATTAAGAATAAAACAACGTGTAAAATAAAGATTCATTAAGTGATCTACAGTTATTTGCGAAGCAACAAAAGATCCACATCGCGTCGCTAAATAAAATGGTAAATTAATGAACTTCCCGACAATTTTCGAACGTGAAATGAAATGGGTAATTAAATAAATAGAAAATGCATACTTCGTCGCGCGACATGTAAAGCTTCCACATCCACAGAAGGCACCCCATCACGACCCATCATGCATAACGAATTTGTACAAACCCAACGCTGTCATCCTCTTTGGGATTTTTCGTGTTTTCCTTCGAAGCACACCCGCCCATTTTTAAATCTATCTAACACTACGCTAAATGGATGGAACTATTCGCAATCGGCATGGGGTTGTGACGACGCCCTTGTACAAAGCCGTCTTCAGACCCGGTTTCCAACAGTCCAACGTACCCACTCAACTTTTAGTTTTGACTGACTTGGTAACAGGGCGCAGTTTTCACATCGACAGATCGATAGGAGCATTTTGAGCGCGTGACGTGCAACCAATAGAAAACCTCGTTTTCGCTCGACCACCCTCCAGTTCCGATTCAAATTCGATTCTTACCCCCCTCTCCGCTTTCGATAGATAATATATCACGATACATTTTTTCCTTTAAACGATTTTTATTTCAATACCTCGATAGGAAAATCAGCTTACACGTAATATGTAAATAAGATTTTATGATGAGATTTCAATCCAACTTCGGGCCGAGATTGATGACGTCAAGATAAAAGCGTTAACAGGCCTGGTACGCTTAATATACTTACAATATTAAGTCGTACGTAGTTATTCAACTTATTAGAATGCATTAGCTATAATTAGGTAAACGTGTGACACATTGTAAAGTCCATTGTTTGCAATATATTAATTCTGCAATCCGCAATAAATCTAAAACCTTTTTTATTACTTTATTACGTGTCTGGGACTTTGCGGGTTTCGTTTTAATTGGACCGACTATATTTGCAAGCGATATCGTTCCCTACCCTCAGATTTCGTTATTATTTAAAACTCCATCCCATCAATAAGACTTTATTTCGATAACTGGATAGCTTTATGCGATAACTCAAATGCGCAAGTCGTTCAAAACCTGGGCAGGTACTTTTAACATAACGTACCTCCGTTGTCTGAATATGAGTTCGTTAACCTTCTGCAGACAGTCTTCTGAAAAGGATGTTAGTCATCGTACGTTATAGTTGTATAGAGTGCACGCGAAAAGTTCTTGCAAGTGTAGGGGTCAAGCCCTTATATTTTTTGAAAATTTGTGGTTCCCGCGATGATAGCAAATATATTAGTGATTATCAACTAGAATAAAAATCTAGCCTAGAGTGTTAAATAAACTTAATTAAACACCCACTATCTTAAATTATTGTTATATATCTAAGAAAAAATTACTTGCAAGGTAAAAATATTTTGAAGAAATTCTACAATTATATCATTATAGCTGATTTTTAAGTTTAAATTTATATTAAAATGTATGTTCCATCGAATTTCTTTTTCTTAACTCTTTTTTACCTCGAAGGATCACCTGGCGGTGTGCCAGCAATTAAAACGCGAGCTCAAACTTAAAATGAATTTGTAACTTAAGGACAACTAACTAGTTCATAATATTCAGACAGACTATATACGCAGTTTCACGCCACAGTGTTGCCTATCTGGCTTCAAAGTAAAAATAGCAATTTAGGACTTAAAATTAAAAAAATTGAAAACAATTTACCGTTTACTGCAACGAGAAATATATCTTGAAAATATCATATATATTTTTCAAACATATTGCTTGATTTGAACTGGTGTATTTAAATTAAAAATATGTAAATTAAATCACGTAGAAAATATTGAAAACCAATAATGAATATTTTTTTTGTGTACGAGCTGTAATATTATGTTCAGTTTAGAAATATTTATAACAAATGCGTGAAATAAATAAATATTCATTAATACCTACCAATTTTCCCCCTATTTCTTTTCTTAATATTTTTTGTGGTTACATGCAAAATAAATATCAAAGAACGGATATTACGTGTCTTTCTACGAAATAAAATAAAATATTCCACCAGAACATTCTATACAAGGTGACGCGAAATTATTTAACCACACGTGTCCTGAAACAGGTACAACTGCTCTTATAAACTAACGTGATATTGAAAATTTATTCAAACATATTTTGGGTTCCATACACTTTATGAAAATAATAAAATTTCATCCACAAATTCTGTATTATTGAGACTCTACAAATATTTTGGTTTTGTTTAATGCACATTTCATTCGAGACTGAGAATATATTTTTTTAAATATTGCATTAATAGTTGTTTATAGTTTAAAATAGTTTTTATCCTATATCGATGTACCTAGCAATGCATACTGGATCTAAATATTAATCACCCCATAGCCTTTTCGCATAACTCACTGTTTTAATTAAGTATGACAAATTCAAGAACAATTTTCTATATAATTTAAAAATGGTGCACACGGCGAACCTATAGAACAGCAGCATGTTATTGTCCTTCCTTTAGAATAACCCAAGACTTATTTAAAAAAATTATTATGTGCGATGAAAATGAAATTAAATTTAAAAAAAGGAAAAAAGAATTTAAAATAAAAATATTTGAAAAAAATTAAAAAAATTTATAACTAGATTAATTGTTTATGAAAAACGTACGAAGCCAAGCTGTCTTGTATAGGTAAAAATCTAAAATTAGTGTAGTTTGCGTGTAGTTAATACAATAACTTTGAGCTCTGCCCCAGAGCCAAAAATTTCGTGTGTATTATATTTCGTATCGCCTTTCTCGAATTACAATAACTACTTGCGACTACAAGGAGTTATTGTAATTCTTCAAACGGCAATGCTCATATAATATGGATCAATTTTTTCTAAAGTTAAGTCAATTGATCATTTAATTATTGCTTAAACGATTTGTCTTATTGTTTACGGTGTTACAAATTTTCTTAAACATAAACCATTCGGTTTAAAACATCTATTTGTTTATTAACAATTACAATCAATCAACAATGTTTAGCGGAGCTAGCGACACAAATGTTCTTTCAAACGTAACACAAAAACAAAAAAATGATTAATATGAAATTTTACGGTAGCGAAATATTGGGATAATTTTTAGTCACATAGCCATTAAGGTGTGTACCGCTATTTTTATAAGGAGATAAGCGAACAAAAAGCGTATTAGTTTTTTGTTTGCTAAACATACATTTCTTTTTTCGCTTCACAAACAATAATATAATGCCTACAGGATATGAATCATGGTCTAATCAATTACACCGAATTTAGTAAATTGCCGTCGGTTTGTCGTCTACGGAATTTACCGGCAACTCTGCAAAGGTTACGTAAGATAAATTCGATTTTCCGAAAGCGCCAAGCTTTCAGAACCGGGAAATAATATTCCTAGATACGTATATACGGCGAAATATGGGCAGCACAATTAAAATTAAAACCGTAAACCCTCCCCCAAAAGCCGATACAAAAAATTACGCTTTTGAGAGAGCAAAATATTTAAATTTCGCGAATTAACCTCTACTAATGTATTCCGCAATGATATTAAAAAAGATTAATGATTGTACCTTAGGTAAAGTTTTCGGAAAACTTGAAACACACTCAACTAGGATTAGACCTACTGTGAGACTTGGTAAGAGGTACGCACACCGTGTAGATGAGCTCCTGGTGCCTACCCCACTCTACCCTGTGACGTAGTGCAACGCTGCACCAATCGTTATTTGCGACGGAGAATAGTTCTCTCGTTTGAAAATTTGTCCGATGCAGAGAGACCGCAAATAAATTGTTTATTATTTGGCCGTGAATTTTTCAGGCTTGGCTGGGATTTTGACACAGTCAATTGTTATCTAGAACGATCTAGGGATTTCGTTATGCAATAACGGGTTATGGATAAATTTCGGGCTTAGCGTTTGCTAATTTAGCCGTTATTTTTTCTTTTCTCTTTGGCACTAAAGACGTCCGATAAGAATAGAAACCATCGAATCGTTTGGCATAAAATATTGCAGTAATTTTCTTTCTCGCTGAATTATTAAAACGACTACATATTTATTATATTTATTTGGGTAATTCATTTGTCGTAGGATTGGTCTTATTTATATAATTCACTCTTTGTTGTTTCTCGTCAGAAATATTAAATAATTATTTCTTCACACTTGGAAAAGAGATCAAATGGGGAAGAAAAAATATTAAAATCATAAGTGAAAAACAGGATGTTATTTTAGTCTAGAGTTTGACAATATTACCTATTGTTATAGTAACATTTAGAACATTTAAGCTCCAAGCACACATACCTTCAGCTTCAGCTAGTTCTACAAAGTAAAATGATTTTAAAATCTCACATTAGAAAAGCGCAAAAATAAAATACGCCAACTTAAATTGTCTTTACTTTAGTTTCTTTATTTATCTTTTTTTAAAAATGGCATCATTCA